TGGTTGTTTCTCCTGCTCCTGCTGCTGCTGCTGCTGCTTCTGCTGTTGCAGAAGCTTCCATCTTTCAGTTTGTCTTTATTCCCTTTTTGTATTTGTACTTACACAATTTTGAGTAGTTCCAGATCTCTTCTCTGAATCCCAATATCTAGCACACAGGAAAATCATCTACAATTTTCTAAACTTAGAAGGAGAGAAGACTTCCCCAGGAGAACCCTTTATCCCGCACCTTCTCTCCAGACACATTCCCTTGATTTTACAAGACAGCTATTTCAAGTGACGTCAGAAGTCTGTCTGCCACAAAGAACTACCATTTCTCCCTACTTATGTAACAGTCAAGGATAGGAGCTCAGGAGAAAGATTAAATTAGACAGTGAAATACACAGCACATACTAAGTGTGTGATTAACCTTCCACGTTGATAACCCAAACAACCAAAAATATGTAATATATAGGTATAACCTGCAAGTGTTGCTCCTACTCAGGTGTTCGCATTTTAATGGGTGAATCTTTCATTTAGTTCATCTACTCATTCGGCAAGTAATTGTTGAGCTTCCATGGAACCCTAAGCCCTGGGCGAGCAGCAGAAGAAAAGTTAATGAGCCAAGGCAGGCAAGCCCTGTCCTCAGACAGCATACAGTCAAGTGGTAGATCTGAATTTTAATCATGTTTAATTATTATTAATGTATAATTATGAAACAGAATGAGTGATCTGAAAAAATAATGTGAGGGCTCTGAGAATATTTATCAAGGGAGCGTCACTAAATCTGACCAGGCTGGATAGAGAAATCTTCCCTGGAAAGAACTTGAAGATCCTCTAAGGTAAGTATGCTCATAACTGGAGCAATTGATTAAAATGCAAGAATAAGGAAGATCTCCTGGGAGTCACACATCCCACCTGTAGTCAGTGATACCTTTGATAAGAGGTAGAGCTGGGCTAAATTTGCCGTTTTCCTGAAACAATAGCTTAAAGCAGTGATCTTCACACTTTTCGTTGGCTTATTCACCAAAAGAGAATTGAGAAGTTTGGTGTTTCCTGGCAAAGACTGTCATTTATGGAATGTTGAAAATATTTAAAGTGTAAGCTCTCTTTAAAGAAAAAAAGGTTGATAGTAATCATAGTAATTTTATGCTCACCATCATCCATTATTTAAAAAATAAACAAGCTCTTCCACAACAGATATTTTATATCCTCCATGCAGTTTTAAACTCATGTGACATATTTCGATGCTTGAAAATATTTTATTGATTATACTTACTTGCTACAAAAATATGTACATAAATAACTTTTAAATGTTGTTTGTGATTCCTAGGCTTCATGGGTCTAAGTACTAAAAATAATTTCTTCCACATGGAGATAACATTGTTATTATTAATAAGCCACAGATTAAATCAAGATCAATACATTAAATTTTTGATCAATATATATTAAGCAGAAATAATCCAATTGTATTGGAAATGCCTCTCTCAATGAGATAAATCTGTGACCCTGTTCATGTTTCTAAAGATGATTACTACTAGTTATATTAAAAAAGAGGGTTCACTATTGATTCTATTCCTTTTTTTAACTTTTTTATAGACATTAAATGCTTAGGAAATTTGTTCCAAAATATAGATACATAGAAATTGAAGCTTCTTTTAAAACAATTATTACTCATATCATTATTGCAAATGAGCTATGTAACAAATTATTAATACATAGTGATCTGACATTAAAACTATGTATCTTTTTAAAATATTTTGAAATTTCTCTTTCTTTGATGTCCTGGAAGATTTTTATATTAGTACTATTCAGCTGCTACTCTGAGACTGAGAAATGAAGCAGACGATTCCATGGAGAGTTTAATAAAACTTTAATATCAAGGGGCTGGCAGGTGGTGAGGTGGTTAAAAGCATTGGACTCCCACATGGCTGACCGCAGTTCAAATCCCGGACTTGGTGCCTTGCTTTCTCACTTTTCCTTTCTCTCTTTCTCTGTCTCTCTCTGATCAAACTGTAAAAATAATAATAATAATAAATAAAGTTAAATAATTTTTTTAAAGTTTAATATCAAAGGGTAACTTAGACAAGGGAGAAGGGCTAGGTAGACAAATGACCACAGACATCACTCCACACCCTCCCACAGTAAGCTGGGACTTCAGAGGATCTGAGCAATAGTGGCAAACTTTGGAGGAAGAAAGTCATCTAGGAGAGCTGTAGCCGCCCCTGCCTTCCAGAGAGCAAGTCACCTGGGGCTGAGACATGACTGCTACAGGGTCAAATACTGTTAGTCTTCTTATCATTAAAGGCCAGTGGCTCAGGCTGATATCTCAGTTAGAAGGTCTGCATGACTGCCAAAGGTAAGAATTAAACTCAAGAAGAAACCCTTTCTCAGAGCTAGTAGAAGATTATTTCAGTGTGCAGTGGAAGAGTGGAGGACTCAAAAATAGAGTTAGTTTGATTCATTCACACAAGTACAATTCACAGTCATAAGATTTTCAGTAGGCAAAGTATGTTCTTTTTTCTTTTTTAATGGGAGATTATTAAATAAAAAGAAATTCAAGGGGTCTTATTAGTTAGCCAGTTTTAGAGAGGAGTTCATATGGAAGTTGATGACCCAAAAATAAATTTATTTATGTAACGTTTGGAAAAATTACTTGTAAATTTTCATGGTATATATGCTCCAGTTTAGAGCTATAGGCTTTGAGGACTAGATCACTCTTCAATGAGCTCTAGAGATATTCTTGATTTTGGTCTGACGTGCTGATGTCCCAACATAGGGAGAGAGATTATCTCAGTGGATGTTGTGAAAACCCACTACCATCCTTTAGGCTGAAGTGCTCCCTTTGTATTCTTCAAACTAAAAACCAATGTAGCGTGAGTTCCACTATTAGAAAGTAGACACCAGGAAGGGAACAAGAAGGGTGGAACAAGAATGAACAGTACAACTTGATCTGGGAGGCTCAAGAAAACAACTGAAACAGTGACTCCTGACCTGAGTTACAAAAGATGAATAGAAAACAATTGGTCCAGGAGAAGAAGTGGGATAGTGAGAATTTTGGGGGCAGAGAGAATGGTAGATGAAAAACAAGAAAGAAGAGCAGTAGGGGACTTGTAAGCTGTGAGGAAGAAGGTACATTTTTATCTCTGGTGCAATGGGAAACCATTGAATGGTTTCAAAGGAGGAACTTACATGGTCAGATCTGTACTTTTATAAGGTCATTCTGGGAACTACTGGTGACCAAGACCCAGAAGGAAGCACAAATCCAGATGGGTAAACTAGCCAGCCTAGAGCAAAAGAGGACTGTGGCCTCTTCCATTCTGGACAGCAAACTTTGTTTTATGCAACCTACTATCAGTGCTTAATTCTTTCTTGAAGAAAAAAAAGAGAGTTTATTTCTGTAACCAGTTACAGGGAGACAGTCAGTAGGTACCATCAAACTATCTCAAAAAATTCAACATGGTCTCAAGATAAAAGCAGGTACAAACTTTCCTCACTACAATCAATCAGAGTCAATTGTTTTCCTTTGAATCATAATCCTGATTCTTATTTTACTTCAAATACCCACTCCTGGTTTCTATAACCATTCCTCAGACCCTCAAACAGACCTTCTCATGACTCAGCATTTGGTCAGATTGTTCTTGTTAGAACACTTTCATAATTTCTTTCTTCCTTTTTTTTTTTTTCTTTTTTTTAGACCAGCGACACTGAAATCCAGCTTCTGGTATCTCCTTCCCTCTCAGTGCTATTAAGTCACTTCTTCTAAACTCTGCTGGTGCACATTTAATTTTACAGCTCCAGAACAGGACTTCACAGTTACACCTGAGTCTCAATAAATTCAAAGTCTAGAAAAGCCAGGTAAGGCAAATCTGGCCCTTCCTTCTTTGCTACTCTGACTTCAAACCTGCAACTAGACTGTGGTTTCTCTTCACTGCGTCCCAAAGTCTACTGCCTCCTCTTCCTACTGCTGTCCTATATGTGAGTATTACGGCAGATAATTTTTAACATTTTTTCAAACTATAAAATATTTATAGTTGAAAATTAAGATTCTGAAGGAGCCCTAAAGACCTTCATCTCTATTTCTCTCTTTATCTTTATCTCTTCCCATTGCTTTATATATAGATGTTTGCCAGATGTAGATTTTCATTTTCCTGCTCTGAGAGAGGAAGATAAAAATCCTCATTACACATTCAATGACAGCCCAGAGCTTTGTAAAAATCCCACAGCTTTCCTGAAGACCTTCTGCCCCTCTTCAGTCTCTAGACTTCCACTTCAGCTGAACACTTTCAGATGGGGCAAACTCACCCTGTCAATGTTTCACCTGTTCATTCTGCATCAACCCCCTCACACGACTCTTTTAAATTCCCATCTACTTAAACATTAATGCAAAGCATGTATAAAAGTCCTTAGTAACAATTTGGGGAAGATGTAGCGATTTACATTACAGCAACACAAACACAAATGGCTTAAAGTCGAATTTAAATTGGTCAAGTTCCTGAAAGTTACTACAATTCTAAAACTTGAACACGAGACCCCTGCATTATCACTTGGACCATTTCTCGTCTTGACATATTTATTTCCATGTTTTCTCTTTCCAAACCAAATTATTGGTCTTTCTCCTATAATAACTTTGATGCCATATAAGGGCATCAACACTGTATGAGGGGACATCAAAAGTTTGAGAAGGGCCTGTCTTGAAGCACACTGGTAAAGCACAATGTATCCAGAGCCAGATCCCACATGGCCAACCACAGTTCAAATCCTGGGCCCAGTGTCTTGAAAACACACCAGGAGTGTATGTATACACACACATGTGTGTATGTTCAAAGTCTGGACAGGATGGAAAAATGGAGGAAAAAAGATTGTGGTGTAACAATACCCCATGGTAGGGGCAGAGGCTAGTTCTCTCTTCCTCTCTAGCAATTAAAAAAAAGTTTGTAGAATTGATATTAATGTGTGGATTTATTTTGATGCAAAAGATAATTTTAAATTAATAATATTTTCCATAATGTACATTTTCCATGAACTTTCTGAACACCTTGTGATGTCATTCTCCCCATATGTTCTTCCTAAACAGCTTTTTCAGATCTTCTTTCTTTCCTAAGCAGAGTGCTGGTACAGGCTATTAACATAGTAAATATCTTCATCCCATTATGTCTGATTTTTTGATTTGGTACATAGAATGTATTTTACAATATAACATAACATGACACAATATCTTTGAGAGTTAGTCATAATAAATCTATAAGGAATAATTTATAGCCTCAAGTAAATATGTATTCCAATAATAATAATTTTTATTATAAAATATCTATTACATTCATAATAATTATTATTACTATGAAATATATATTTAACTACTGAAAACCCCTTTGGAATAGGGTAATGTCCCAGCTTAAAGTGATGAGAAAAATATAAGAATCATGGAATGTGGATAAGTATTAAGTGACAAAAATATATATTGTAGAATAAATCTGGAGTGCCTTGAATTGTAGAGGGAATATAATTCATTTGGTCTCCTGCAAAATGAATTAGAGTCCCTTTTATGCCACATGAAGCTTTTCTTTTTCTTTCTTCCTTTCTTTCTTATTTTTCTTAGAGAGATTTTTGTCATAGGGCACGTGCACTCATCAGAGAAACAGAAAGCGAGAGATCACCTCCCAGGGGGGATGGCCACACTGCAATCCCATCTCCTCTATTCTCCTCTCGAGATTTCGGGCATGCGTGCACATGCGCCTGTTCTGAGTTTTAAGTCACCAGATCCAGGACTCTAAAACGTGGTCAACTATGTGGTAGTCTATCATTGACATAACCATTACACCATCTGCTTATCCTGCCACATGAAGCTTTTCACAAATTTCCATACGATGTACAAAGTTTCCAAAATATGTTAAACCACAGAACACTTTTACCCAAGAGCATCTTGCTAATTAATACTCTGCAGAAAACTTCAGAAAACACAGTAACTGGAGAATAACTCAAATTGTCTCCACTTTTTAGTGCCTTGGTATTTTCAGACCCTACCTAAACCTGTTGGCTAATCTTCTATCTTGACAGGGACACTTTTCTTTTCCGACTACCTTCAAGTCATCCTCTTTGGTGTCCTGCAGTACCAAAGAATTTGTCCAAGTTTCAGTGGCTTAGATTGGTAAGTTTTATGTATAAATATCCTATTGAAGGCTGAGTCCCATGAAGACCTGTGAACAATTTTGTGGGAAATTGAATTTAACTGGACAATTCGAGCTCCTTATGGTCAAAAATCAAATCTCATTCAACTTTGTACATTATAGTAGCCAGCTTATGGTAAGTACTTAGTAATAATTGTTAGCAAATACATAGTAACCATCACATAGTAGGTACACCATAAACTGTGACTCTTTTCATCCCTCTCCTAAAACAGAAACTAAGACATTACACGGTATGCATAGTGTTCTTCAGGGAGTGAGCTTATGAAACTACAAATATTTATTAGTGTTCACAGTACTCATGTACCATCAAGCCAATCTTTGTGGGGTTTTTTGAACCTCATAATCTTGTGGACAGTATTTCAATACTGCCACTTCTCGTCTTTCCTAGAAGTTACGTTGGCCTTCAATTTGTTTACATGTGTTCTAAATTCCAGGTAAAAGATTCAAGATAATTCTTCTCCATTTTTATTTCACAAGTTTGTGGCCAATTAGGATAAGGAGATTGAGAGCTGCACTGAGGAAGTAAAAACATAACTTAAACATCAGAAGAAAACCACTGTAGTTTCTAAATGCATTGACTTTCCTTGAGTTACAGTAAAAAGAGAGAAAAGCATATCTCAGAAACTGCTATGTGTGCACATTTGTACTTTGGAGTCCTCTATCTCAAGAAAGTCACGCAATGCATTTCTTAGAAAAGGTAACACCATAAACGGGGTCCCTCCCCACCCTCCGGCCCACTGTCATGTACCCCCTTTCAGCCCTGCAGCTGGGCACTAAAGTTTCTTCTTCCTGGTCTGCTCCAAAAAGCATTTTTTCCCTTGAACAGAAAATGTCTGGGTGAAGAATGTCTACCCTGACTACTTGGTTCCTGGCTTTGGAGCATAGATGGTAATCACTGTAACTTACCCACCTTCATATGCAGAAAAAACAGCATCCACCCAGCTGGCTCTTACCATCTTCTCCAGAAAACCGAGCCATCCTTCTAACAACTCATCACTTTCTTGGGCATCTTTAGCCAACCTTCTGTGGCTATCTTCACAGGACATTGTAAGACAAAGAAAATACAAATACTTCCCCAAGGACCTTGGACCTTTTATTGCCCAAAGCAGGCTATTAAGAATAGGACTTGCACTTCAGGTCTACTGGACTTAGACTTCCTAACCCTGTAGCTCTGTCTGAGAAACATTATTCCAGAGCACAAAATACCTTTGAAGAGATTTTGCTTGCCTAAAAAGAATCTAGAATTTTTCAGATATAGTGATCGATGATAAATTTACAAAGATTAGTAAGACCAACTTGTGCTCTTGAACTGCTACTAGTCTAGTGAGAAAGAGATGTGAGAAAATATCTTATAATATACTAAGATAAGAACATCTCTAAGGGAGCCATGAGGTTAGATTAATCTAATCTGTTGTACTCAGGAGAGTTGGATAGAGATGGGAAAGCATTAAGTGGGTTTTGAAGTATGAGTAAATGCTGAAGTTCAAGTTGGCTATACTATTCACAAAAATGAAGAATTCTCTAAATCTAAATGGATACACACAATGAATGTTTATTTCTTGCTTATGTGGAATCCAATTTAGATGTCCTTAGAAATGCAGCGTGTGGGGTGGTAATTCTTTGCACAGTCACACAGTCTCCTGAGCCACATCAGTTTAGTGGTTCTACTAGTTCTCACCCTCCCAGAAGCTGCCCCACTTCTCCCTAAGGAGAACGGCCCAGTCCTCACCCAAATACACACGGGGAGGTGACAACATTGCTTTTGTGTAAATTATGTAATGCAAATTTTTTTTAATCTTCGCCTTAATACTTTTTTATTTTGTTTTATTTTGAATGATCAGCCACCATGGACCCCCATTTTTGTCCTCCAACCTGAGATGTATGAAGGCTTTTGGTCTCCCTGGGAGTGGGTAGGTGTAGAGGCAGCCAGGGCTTACCTATACACTGACTTGAGACCAGTTCAATAAACGTGCACACCTCATGGTTTTGCTGTAGTGCATGTGTGCTTGATAGAGAGAGAGAAAGTAAGAAATCCCAGTGCATGTGTGCTTGATAGAGAGAAAGTAAGAAATCACCCCCCAAGGGAGATAGCCACACCACAACCACTATCCCTTCTCCTCCATTCTCCTAGAGATTGTAGGTGCACACACACACATCCAGTGTTTTCAAGTCCTCAAGTCTGAGACTTAAACAGCACTGTAGATCGTGTGGCATCCAGCTGCCTTAACCCACAAGCCAGCTAGCTGGCCTAAGGCTTCAGGGTTTGTAATGTGAGACCCAAGAACTTACTTCAACAGTTTTCAATATGATTTGGGTAAAGATTGCAGTGTGAGAATTACTGTGGTAGTAGGGCTTTGATGTCAAAAGATGAATAAGTCACTGCCTAGAAAAAGCATGGCAGAGATGTATGACTGGCCCAAGGTAAGAATCTAGATGAGGCTGATGGAGCTAAACTGACCATTATGGAAAGCCCCAAGTGTAATTGTGGATCTTTCCTGATTCATAAGCAGATTGGTGTTATCCCTGAAACCATGAGAACATTTCCTTCATTAAAAGCAGTATCTTTGTAGGTAATGAGTTTGAGCCGGTGCTCACAGCAGTTTACATCCTTTGGGTAATCCAATGGATATAGTTTCAAGAATTTTGATACAGAAATATTAACCCCAAGTTCTATGAATATCTGCCAGCAGTGACTTCTTTGTGTCATGAGGACTTAAACTCTTTATCATGAAGATTTCCAGGGAAAAAAGAAATGGTGAGCTGCTGAAGGTTAGTGTCAGCTTCCTGCAAGAAGCAATCTTTGCCTTGCCTATGTAGCTGATTGATTTCTTTTTCTTTCTCTGTTTGGTTAAAAGTTTGAGAACCAAACACAATGTGCAAAAGAGGTTAAGACAATCGGGTGTGTTGAGAACATCCTAAAGAAAAGCCTAGGTGAGAGAGAACTGTGCTTTCCACATTTAAATAGCATGTGGAATTTACCCATGGGATTTGTGCGATTATGTAAATTGAATGAATACATAGTCTGAAGGGTACACAATATTCAGGTAGCAACTTTTAGTTTTTAATCACCCTCTAGTCGTTTATTGATATGTATTTCGACAGATTAATTATAAATTCCATTTCATAAATTGCTATAGCTGCAGATATTTGTATAAGCCTCTATTAGATAATAATATCTATTTGTTGAATGAGTGAGTAAATGAATGTTTGAGAAAATAAAAAGACTGGAAATTAGTAAAAAAAAAAAAATCTTGGGACTGGCAAGTGGCGTGGTGGTTAAGGCACTGGACACTCCCACATGGCCGACCATGGTTCAAGTCCCGGACCTGGTGGCTTGCTTTCTCACTTTCCTATCTCTCTCTTTCTGTGTCTCTGGTCAAATTAAAATGAATGAATAAATGAAATTGAATAAAATAATTTTAAAAGAAATCTAATTTTAAACAGTTATCACAAACCCCAGTACTTTTTTCCATAGTAGTCGAATCTTTGTTTATGCATATTACTAGCAAGATTTTGTACTTTCTTATTGAAATCATTTAGGTAGAAGAAAAGTTTAGTGTTTCTAGAGTCAGAAAATACTGATTACCACTATTGGGTTAATTGATAACCTGATAATAAAGGGAAAATGAAAAAAAAATCAGAATTAAAATTCTAAAATCGCAGATATCTGGTTGCATAGTGACAAGCAACCCAAAATACCCCAAGTAACTTTGAGCATATTACAAGCTACAATATTTAATATTCATACTAATGATTTCAGGTTATCAAGAAAGTTTTGTTAAACCTATACGGTCTAATTTAAAAGACTGAAAGTATTTAACACAGTATTTCCTCCATGATTTTTTTTAAGTTTTGGTTTTGATGATCATCATGAGTAAAATTAACTTGGCCAGACAGCCTCTTTTCCTAAAGACTAAGGTTGCCAGATTTAGCATATAAAAAGGTTAGATGGCCAGCTAAAGTTGAATTTTAAATAAACAACTAATCACTTTAAATATAGCATATAAAATGTTTGAGGCATGTTTATGCCCCATGTAGTGATAAACAACTAATCACTTTAAATATAGCACATCCAATGTTTGAGGCATGTTTATGCCCCATGTAGTGTTTGGGACACACTCATATTACTAAAACAAAGAAAAATGTTGTTTGACATTTTATCTTGCAGTACTACCAGTGACTCAAAGAAACCCAGCATTACATCTTACAGTTTGTGCATTCAGGAATTATTGTAATTAAGAAGGGCTGATTGATTGTGTAAGTCAGCTCCACTGAGCTTTTCCAAAGAATCTATAAACTAGAGGGGAAAATAACCCACTAAATGCAACTACTGTCTTCCTTCTGAAAGACTCAAGTCTAATGAGATGAAAGCCCCGAGATAGACCTGCAGGAGATATGCAAATAAAGATGATAATTTCTAGGGGAGAAGGTTTCAAAGAGCAATTTAGCTCACTCAGGTTCTTTGGAAAGAACCTCAATTCACTGAATTGAGTTTTATGGTGAGAACTTTGTCTTTTAGTAAAGGAAACCCTGGGACAGAGCATCATTACTCTCATCCCTATAACTGCCACTGAATGTGGTTGGGAATTTTGTTTCTTTTCCTCAATCCTGACCTGCCTGGAAGTCTTGTCTAACTAACTCCTAGGCTTGGTTAGCTGCTCCTTTCTCTGCAGGCTTTTCCATTTTCCATGGTTCTGTAATTGTCCATTTATCTACGCAGTTCTTTCACAAGACTTTCTACAAGACAGGGATGTATCCTCTGGTTTTATATCCAGTGGTAGAACATTGCTTGGCATGCAATGAATACACAGTATGTGTTTGAATGAATGGAAGAGAGGATGGATAGATGGATGATACCGTTGTGTTTATGAAAAGCAAAAAGATAGCTCTTACACTTGTACAAGAATACTCAGTCACTTTATTCATATTCATCAAAGAAAAAGCCAACTTATTCATAATA